ATGATGGGAATCCTTTTATGCCTTCAGGTCTCTGTGGTCCATCCCCCAGAGGGGTGTGGCTGATGACATATAAGCCTGTGGCCCGCACATGCTCTTTGCACTTGTGTCTTGTGTCTTTGTGTTGCTATTACTCTGTTCTGACTCTCGTGACTCTCCTGGTATCTGATCGGCTTGTGACTTGACTATTCTTTGTATTCTCCTTTGATCTGACCCTCTGTTGCTGAACCCGGCTCGTGACCTGTGATTCTTGTCTGCTGTCCTGTACTGTTTTGTCCTGTTGTTGTTGACCCGGCTTGTCTGACTACTCTTTTGTCTCTTCCACCAGCTACACGCCCATTGGCGGCCGCCATTACCGCAGCTGAGGTGTCTCGGGGGCCGCGACCTGGTTCCTGGCTGCGTCAAGTCCATCCCCCACCATCAGGGGCCCTGGTGAAGGGCAGCCTGGGACTTAGACTCCGGCCCTGAGGGACTTCGGTCTGTGGGTAGTGGTTGTCGTCAGCCAGTGCGTTACATTGTTAGGCCTGCCTGTCCGTTCCTCGGCCCCTGCCCTGACAACCACCTGTTGGTGGTCATCAGTGGAGTCCAAACTCTGGTCTGGAACCACCTCTGCCATTGTGCCCCCGAAAACCCGGAGTGGACTCCACCTTACACCTCACAGTATGACCTCATGCGAGGTGACACATATCGTCCATCCATCACTCTGCCGTTCATACTGTCACTATATATATATATATATATATATATATATATATATATATATATATATATATATATATATATATATATACAGAGAGCAATACAACCGCAAAAAGATAACAGAAGTTTAGGTAGATAAGTACTTGCCAAAAAGCTTTGGGTTAAGCAGCTTCAAATCTCATGAGCCAAAAAGGATTTTCTTGTCTCTACTGCTAGTTTCAATGTTAAACGCAGGAGATTCTGCTTTCTCTCACACTAACTTTTCCTCGGCACATTTGCCGGCCTGGGCACTAGTATATTAATACTCGGTCGCATCTGCAGAATGGTTAGAGATGAAACATGAAATATGCACTTCAATGGTTCAAGAGATATACTTTTCCGCTTTCCTAGGTATGCCAGCTATGGGGTGTCACATACCAGGAGAATGGCCTCAAAATGAGCCTTCCGAATATAGGCTCCATGTTTAGGTAGTTATGTCCTACGTTAAGATATCAAATTATATGAAAAGTGAGTTTTTAAAAGTAAGTCTGTTTTTACAAACCCTTGGAAGGTCTTTTGAAGTTCAGTGAGGGACTTTTACGGTGTGCCAGATTGCACAGTTTCTTAGACAGCGAGGCACCCAGCTCATAAAGGTTTTATAGCTCGGAGCTTCCTGCTGTGCTTTGGCCGCCTGTGACACTTCTCATCACTCAGGCCACATGTCACTGTGGAGGAGCAGAGGAGGAGGGGGATGAAGAAATATATATTTGTACAAGATGGATGATCCTTTGCCAAGATGGAGGTTGGAGCAAAATGGTTGAACCGCGTCCATCTCTGTGGGTACGATTGCTACACCCATGGCATGCAGGAATTATTTAAGGGCTTGGTAGCAAAAGTTCACAACAGAATGATTTCCTATGCAGGGGATCTTCTTCAACTTCAATAAAGTTGGCTTTCTAGCCTTTATAATGGTGCCCTGCTGTAAGGCCCACCTCTGGACTATAGACTACAGGTTCTCCTGACAACCCCCGGTGCTGACCTGACTCCTTGAACTAAGACCTCTGTCTCTTGATTTCTAGCTGGGTCCTCTGACCTTCTGTCTTCCCCCACTGGCCGTGATCTCCAATTGCGAGCCCTGAGCTATTCTCAGACCTGAGTATATAACAACCCCTCACACCTGTGTACTCCAGATTGCAGGTGTCTAACAAAACCCAGACACAGGATTGAATGTTCGGATCCAGAGTTGCAAAATCCAGAGGGTCACGTCCACAACTTTCTCTGCCCAGAAACACTAGTTTGAATCTTCACATTCACCCTAAATGAGAATCCTGTGTCACATTTTCCTAGCTTCTCACAGTGACAGTCTCGTCTTGTCACAATATATACATTTTTCCCTGATTTATACTTAAACCATTCTGTGATATTTTAATCTGAATTAAAGCAGAGCTCTGGGAAATGTGTTTTAATTTTCCCATGCAGTGGGGCTGTGCTCACACTGCATGGGTTAACTTCTCGTTTTGTTCAGGGAGCAAGGAAAAGCTATACTTACCGGATCCTCAGGAAAACAGTGCTCCCACCACATCCAGCGGTGGACTTTTCCTGCTGCCCTCACGTCCAGAGCTGGTCTATGGGCATGATGACATCAGGAATAGTCCATTCACAAGACTGCTAGTGTGTAGGGGAAAAAAGTTGTCACGGAAACTGGTCTTGCGCTCAGAGGGTTGGCAGATTAGGTAAGTATATATCCGCTATCCTCACCTTTTAGATTAAAATATTTGAATGAGGTTTTTTTGGATGTGCCTTATTATACATTTTGTAATGGTATAATTCCATGTGAAATTCTGTTAATATACAGTACATGCAAAAAAATGACAAATGCCTTAAAAAACAAAAAAAAATTATTTAAACAGTTATAGTGAATTTGGTCTGGCCTTGTTTCTAAAGTCTTGAGGCATAGGCAGCTGCTACCATTTACAGTGACCACTGTGGCCCACCTTTTAGAGCAATTTTGGATTCTAAGAGGTCAAGAAAAAGCCCCACTTCTCTGTTACTATCAAAGAAAAGTTGTTTTTTTTTAAAATCAAATTTTAAATCAAATTCCAGCCCACTTAATTGTAGTTATCTATAGTCCATAGATGTTTTGTAGTGTTGAGATCGAATGTAGTTTTCTATTTTTATTCTGGGTACATTGTCTTACTGGATAGCTATTTTTGTATAAATTTTTAAGGTAACAAATGTGGTCATTTCTAAGTTGAGATCTTACACAGCACTGGTAAAAAAATGCATATAGCATCTGGACTGTTTTTTTTTTTTTTTTTTTTTTTAATATAGGCCTTAAAGGCATTAATTAATCCAATGATAATATTTGATGTCCGCATTTCCACAGCCAAAACAGACCAACAAGTAGTCAGTCTTGGGCTGTGGTTGACTTAATAACAACCCTACTATGGGGTATAACTCGCTGGCTGAAAGATTAATTAGCACCAAAGGTGCTAATGAAAACTGATTTTCTAAGTGCATGAAATTTAAGTGTAAATTGAAACATGAGACAGTACAGTAACAAAACAATACACGAGGGGTTCGAGGGCCCTGCTCTTTCGAGCTTACAATCTAGGAGGGAGGGGATAGTGCCACAGGAGGAAGTGGCTGTGGGGGATGGAGTGGTAGGAGAAGTGGAGGAGATCGGCAGTTAGGTGAGGGTGGGGTAGGTTTCCCTGAAGAGATGGGTTTTGAGCATGCGCCTAAAGGTGAGGAGGGTAGGTGACAGTCTGATGGATTGGGGTAGTGAGTTCCAGAGGATGGGGAAGTCCTGCAGTCGGGCGTGGGAGGTGGAGACCAGGGAGCTAGAAAGTAGGAGGTCTTGTAGTTTATAACACTACATGTACATAATCATCAATCTTGGTATTCCTTCAGTGAATTTGGTTGAAAACGTTTTAAAAATTACTGTAAGCAGTAGATTACAAATCCGCTAATATTCTTGAAATGTTGGTTATCCTTTTATGGATGTAAAAGTATTCTGTGACAATCTCAAAGTCTGCCACTATTCAATACAAATGTAAACGTTTATTCTACAAAAAAAAAACAATAGGGGGCACCAGTTTATCTACTGTGAAGAAAAGCATTACATGTTTTAAGCAGTTGTATATTTCAGTTATCTGTGGAAGATAATGTTTTGCACTAAAATTGAGCTGTACACCTACTGGAAAAAGATTTATTACAGTTTAAAATAACTGATGTCATATCAACCTAGAGCTCTGAGTACTATGTTGCCCTTAATAATGTGAAATTATTGTTGAACCCCATGTTAAATATTGTTTTTTGCACAAAGTAAGGTAGAGTTTGAACCAGTAAGACTTTTAAATGCTTTGACTTCAAATGAGAGCTTTTCTCTCACTTTATCCTGTGCCTCTGTCCACAGGGAGGGACAAATCCACCTTGACTAGTACTCATTGCAACAGTTTTTTGTTCCAGTGATAACTGTGGTTTTTTTTTTTTGTTTGTTTTTTTTTTTGTTCCTTTCTGGCCTGGTGAAAAATGTCACAAATCCATAATGTAATAGTGAACCTCCCCAGCATAGACATAGATAGCAAAAAAAACTTGGCAGAGGCTCTGACAATTCCCCAATCTATCCAATACAAACAAAAAAAGGTTGGGCTTAAATGTCACATTACATATAAATGCTGTGTGTTACCTTCCAATGGATTAGCCATGCTTGAAATTACAGATGAGCAAATACATGAAAATTTCAATAAGTTGTAATACGGCCAAATTAAAACAAAAAAAAAAGAACAGTCCCCAAAAGTATGTAATGTAGAACCGCAAATTGTACACGATCGTGCAGAATGGTTTGGAAAAGCTCCTAGTAGCGCTACCTGTCAATAGGGACAAAAAAAAAAAATATACCATATACTGTATTTTTCGCTCCATAAGACGCACATAAGGTTTTAGAGGAGAAAAACAAGAAAAAAAAAATATTCTGAACCAATGGACTGCAGACACAGTACAGGGGGATGACCAGAGACTGTGGACACAGTACAGGAGATGGCCAGAGACTGCGGACACAGTACAGGAGATGGCCAGAGACTGCGGACACAGTACAGGAGGAGATGACCAGAGATGCGGACCAGAGATGACCAGAGACAGCGGACACCGTACAGGAGATGACCAGTGACTGCGGACACAGTACAGGAGATGACCAGAGACTGCGGACACAGTACAGGAGATGACCAGAGACTGCGGACACAGTGCAGGAGATGACCAGAGACTGCGGACACAGTGCAGGAGATGACCAGAGACTGCGGACCCAGTGCAGGAGATGACCAGAGACTGCGGACCCAGTGCAGGAGATGACCAGAGACTGCGGACCCAGTGCAGGAGATGACCAGAGACTGCGGACCCAGTGCAGGAGATGACCAGAGACTGCGGACCCAGTGCAGGAGATGACCAGAGACTGCGGACCCAGTGCAGGAGATGACCAGAGACTGCGGACCCAGTGCAGGAGATGACCAGAGACTGCGGAGCTTTGGGGAGGGAGGGGGAACGGGTACTTGAATTTGACAGGTACCCGCTCCCACTTCCGCGGAGTTGTCCTTCCTTCTTCCCGCGGCGGCTTCTGTGACAGCCGGGTGCCCACTGCGCATGCGCGTGAAGCGCTGCACTTTGTGAATGGCCCGGAGCCTTCTGGGACCTATCGTGTCGCGCAGTGGGCGCCCGGCTGTCACAGAAGCCGCCACGGGAAGACTGCAGCGCTGGAGCGAGGAACAGGTAAGGTCCTGCAGGAGAGGAGCTGAGCGGCAGGCCTGATATTCTGACATGGTGGCGGCAGAAATACCGGACCGGCCGCTTTACATTCGCTCCATAAGACGCACTGACATTTTCCCCCCTTTTTTGGGGGAAAAAAGTGCGTCTTATGGAGTGAAAAATATGGTATATTTGGACGGGGTGAACTTGGTGGCGCTTAGTAATGGCTTTTTTTTCTCAAAATAGGTGCAGGAACTCTCCCCTTCTGATTCACTTGTCTCCACCCCCCACCCATCTCTGAGCACTGTCACTTGGTTCCACCCCCTACCTACCTCCAAGTACCGCACCTTTTAGAGTACCACACCTTTTACAGAACCAAGTATCACTCTGTGATACTAAATAATTTGTATGCAATTTGATAACAATGAAAGCAGTAACCAGCAGCCAGCAGAATTAGACCCCCCAGCAACAATAGGTTCCTCCAGCAGCTGCAACCGATCTCCCACCAACCAGCATCAATAGACTCTCCAGCAGCCAAAAACAATAAACCCCTTCCCTTAACCGTAGATCCCCCAGCAACAATTGACCCCATCAACAGTTGCCCCACCAGCAACAATAGACCACCACATAATAACAGACCCCCTTCGGTGACAATAGATCCCCGAGCAGCCAGGAACAATAGATCCTCCAGCACACCCCAGCACCCCTTGCTATTCAGTGCTGGAGGTGTCGGAACTGCGTTCCCCTGCGTTCCTGCTAAAACAAAGCTCTGCTTACAGTCACGCAAAATGCTCAAGCAATAGTGGCAACCTTTTGATTCTTTATCCCAGAAGCCTTATAAAAATCAGAACTGCCAAAAATAACAGTGACTTTTTAGATTTGGCCTAGTCATCCAAATCTTGGAAATTTGGTCCAACTTTAATGTCATCCGAATTAGATTTCATAGACCTGTATTTCTTTATACTATAAACAAAATAACTACATAACATGTATTTTTTGAATCACACAAAGGATTCTACAGTATATCTGATTTATTGACATCCTCTTACTAAAGTATAATATTGTTACTCCTAGACCATATATTTTAAATGATCTTGGCTTATTATAAAACATGTATTTAATACTGTTAAAGTAAAAGGAACATAATTTATTTCTTATAGTAGCTAATTGATTTCCTTACTGCAATTTTAAAAAGTAGTCCTTTATCAAATTTTGGCATCAGGTGATTGGCAAAAAGGATTTAGGAATATTTAAGTCCTTCCAAGCCAATTAAATATTAGGCCCACAAAGAATTTCATTGTTGTTTTTTTCCAAGATAGAGAGAAAAAACCCTAAGGTAGTTTTGATTCCCAATGAAGAGGTCTTATGCTCAAAACAATTAAAATAAGCCAATTGGGTTTTTTTTTCTGGAGAATTTTAAGTGTACCACTTTATAGACTTTTCACCCATTCCACCTTTAAAACCAACCAAATATGACCAATTTCCATTAAAGAAAAATAATGTCCTGGGGTCTATCTGAAACCAATATCCTGTAATCTATTTATTATTCATAGTGTTTCTGTTAATGCTGCAAAGCAGAGAAGTGATAGCTCTGAAAAGGTTACCCTCAAACCAGAAAGAAAACTCTCTGTCATTACAGGAAGGTCACTGCTTGAGATTAGGACAAAAAGGAGCTCGTCATTCATACACTGATGAAAAATGACAGTGACTACAGTTAAAACACCATACGGGCTTCAAGCTGAATTATTCACAGATCTTTCTGCCGTCTTCAATGGAAACAGACAATGGTTTGCATATTTTAAAATTGTACTGATAAGAGTATGAAGAATGTACTGATGATAAAAATGCTGAATATAAATAAGACCAACATTTTCTTTTATGTCTGGTACACATGATTCATTCTTGATTCTTGTGCCTTAACAACTGTCCCATCAACAGAATGATAGCGGAGTATTTTTGCAGTTTAACAAGGCTTGCATTGACTTATATATTCTAGTAATAATTTATATAGACTTAAAGGGAATTTCCAGATTTACGGGACACCATACGTTCTTTTCCTATCCTTCTATAAAATTACACAATGGCAACAAGGGGGTGTAGATGGTCATCCTGTGAGACAGGGCTAAGAGGGGGTCAATTGGGAGAGCAGATATTTTACCTTCACCATTGTTTGCACTTAACACTCAAGACATTAAGTTTACAGAACTATGTTGCAGTGTTCCTGTATCTCCCCTCTGATTCCGAGAAAGATCACTACTATTTAACAAGGTTGAAGGGCTACACTTTAAGTTCAATGTGTCTTACTTATATAATGTAATTATAACTAAGGCTGGGCCAAATATACCTGGGTTCAGTTGCAGGCAGGCTCATTAAACATTACTTAAATTTGGGTGTTGAATACAAACTTCATAGTAGTCAATGATAGTTGAATGTTACAAAAGGAGAACTGGCCATTTCATAGGCTAATAGACCAGGGCTTGTCAAGCAAATGGTATGGTCTGCTATAGATATTAATAAGGGATCCCACAAAAAACAGCATAGGGCTCACCCTAAAAATACATACCTTGATGAGGGTATGGTGTTGGTGCCATGGAGGAGCAAGCATGCAGTCTGACTGGCCTCAAAAAAGGGAGGGTGTGTGTGTGTGGAAGAGAGTAGGATCATGCATGCCACTTAATTTTGAATGAACCTGCCACACTCCCTCATGGAAATACCTGGGGCTATACACTAACAATTTTAAAGATATTTACTGGTCCTGTTGGAAGAGTGGAGCTCTATCACTGTTGTGATGCTATGGAAAGGCCCCAGGAAATAAAAGTACTGTATACAACTTTCCATTTTTTCTTTTAGTCCGAGCACAGGAATGCTTTCTTCTCTATCAACTATGCTTTTCTCTTTCAAAAACGAAAAAAAAAAAAATGATATACTTTAAAAGGTAACTTCCACTTTGGTGGGAATAATATAGCAAATAAAAGAAAAACAATATAGCATATACAACTGCAACACAAGTCATATTGTAATTTAATGTTATTAAAAATTAGCTTGCTTTGCAATCTAAAGCTCTGTAATTTTTTGTAAAACTCAAATGGCAACCTGGAGGCATTCTATATACAGATGGTGTACAGAATCCCCCCTAGAAATGTAATTTCCTGCTTGTGTGATTGGCTCACTGATTTTCCAGAAGTCAGATTTTGGACATCACCTGCATCAAAATATCTTTTTTGGGTGAGATACTCCCAAAAGGAAATCATGTCTAAAGGGATGCAGACCATGAAATGTTCCTCATTAAAGCCCTGCAGGTACAGTAGAGTGCTGGGGGAAGCACAGGGGCCCAATATGGATAGTTGTAGTTTTCCTTTGACCCTCTCCTACTGTACTCATTAAAATATTTTGTTGGTGTTTGTAAATATAAAGAAAAAATGGTGTTGCGTTCCCATACACAGTACCTAAATATTAAATACACTCAAATGGCATGATATATGCATGGATATAATAAACAATGCACATGCGTCCCTTCATTAAGGGCAAAGGTGACTTAAATCACAAATAAAAAGAGTGAAAAAGATATGGCATAAAATATGCTTGCAAAAGTGCCGAGAAAAAAGACTCACAACTGACGTGGATATATAGTAATATACGTTGAGACTGTCAGGATAAAAACCTGACTCAAGAGAAGACTTTAGGATCACACAAAGTCCTTGCACATAAATGTGTTTCAAAAATGTTATAAGTGACCAAAATAAACAAATATAAATAATATGCTCCAGTCCCTAACTGGGGCTTATTTGTGCTAATACAAACACATTAAACAGTGCCACAAAGTAAATAACACAATGTGCTGCAAAATATATAAAATACCCTACTAAGCCACAAAATCTGTGCCACCAAAAAATAACAATAAACCGCAAATGTCCCCATGTGAAATCTTCAAACAGCTGAATAAAGTGAAAAATTCCAATGGAAGAAAATTGGTGATGCAGGTGTAAGAAAAAGGTGTCCGTCATTGGCTGGATTGCCCCCTCACCTTCATGTAGCGACCCCCAGGGGCCAATAAGTCTTCAAATTATTAGACACAGTAATACGGCCAATCAGCAGGTACAGATCCGGTTTAGAAATAGTGGTGGTATCCACCTTATGGAACAACAGGTATAACCAATCCTGATATCCGAGTTTCTTTTAGGCAGAAACTAACTAAGTTTTAAGGCAGCCAACTCACGTATATATTGGAAAGAAGAAGAATAATCCTCCCATGGTGTAATACTTTAAATGTATTTAAATTTCACAAGCCAACAAAGTGCTGACTCACATGTTAGAGGTAAAAGACAAGCTCACAAAACCTCATGTAAAAAACGCTGAGTATACTCTCTGGGTGTACCAAAATGGCGCCCACGCCGGAAGTGACTTCACCACATCTGTATCATCCGACACATTGCATCACATATCACGTGACTTCCTCAGGGACAGCGAGCGTGGTGACTATGCGTGCTATTTATACTGAGTCTGCTAATCAAGATCTAAGATTTTACCATTTTACTGTAGACCTTCAGCCATAATCTAAAAGCCCATTAAAACTAATGAACAACTACTGCAGGATACAACTATAATTTAAGAGCCCTAATCCAATATTAATAATACAACCACTAGACTGCTGGGGACATCTAGTTATTAAAAAACAAATTTATATAGATATGAAATCAGATTATTTGTCAATGGGATATAATTAAAAATATATACCATACATCTCAAACTAATAAACATTTAATTATAAACATTGATAAAA